AATCAGAAATAAGATGTCCAGTTTTCTTGCAATAATTGCATGTAGGACGAGATAAGGGACTATGACCTTTATGTTCATCAGATGACTTTGGTTTGGGAGTATTTGACTGACTAGATGAGCCAGATAAATTACCAGAACTGAACTTGGAATTAAAATGTGAGGGTGTGGACTTCCCTTTATTTATAAATGAGACTTTGTGGGTTAAAGAATAATCGTCAGCTAGACGGGCAGCTTCTTCTAAAGTTTCTACCTGTTTTTCATCTAAGAAAGACTTAACATCAGAGTGAATACAACGTTTAAACTCTTCAACTAACATGAGCTGTCTAAGCTTTTCATGATTTTTATTAATTTTCTTAGATAGACACCACCGATCAAAAAGTTGTTATTTTTCTTTTGAAAATTCGACATGGGTTTGACCAATTTCTTTCTTAGAATTCTGAATTTTTGCCTGTAGGCCTCTGGTACTAACTCATAACCTTTCAGAATTAATTATTTTACATTATCATAATTAGAGCTTTGTTCAACAGTAAGTTGTGTATAGATTTCACGAGCTTTACCAATTAAAACGCTCTGTAAAAGTAATGTCCAGTGCTCTCTTGGCCATTTTAAATTTTCAGCAACCTTTTCAAAATGAAGAAAACACTTATCAACTTCTTTTTCTTGGAAAGGTGGAACAAGCCTAATATTTTTAGTGACATCAAATTTTGAATTTATTCTATGTTCAAACTGATTTGCTCTCTCTTTGATTTCTAATTCTCTCATTTTTAACTGAAATTCTCTCTCTTCTCTTTCTTTTTCAAACTGCCTTTCCCTTTCTTTTTCTTCCCTTTCTTTTTCTAACAGTCTTTCTTCCCTTTCTTTTTCTAACTGTCTTTCTTCCCTTTCTTTTTCTAACTGTAACTGCCTTTCTTCCCTTTCTTTTTCTAACTGCATTTTCTCTAGTTCAAATTTAAATTGAAGTTCAAGCTCTTTTATCTTTATTTCTGGGTTTGTTTCAACAATTTGAGAAAGTGCATCTTGTCCAAAAATATCTTCATCCACAAAATAATGAATCAGAAGATTTTTAATTTCTTGTTTACGCATTGAAGATTTAATTTCTAATAAATTATACTTTTTTGAAAGATCGAGCAAATCAGTTTTCTTAGCCAAATTTAATACCTCCTGGGAAGGTTCAGCTACAAACTTTTCTAAATTAAAAGACATGACTGCTTGCTGCTGGTTTTAAACTCAGAAAGTGATGTGTTTCAAAAAAAAATTCAAAATGAAAGGTACACTTAATAGAACAACTATGATATCAACTCAGCTGAGTAAATACGGTAATAATAAAATGTAAAATAAACGGTAATAATTTCCAATAATGTAGCCAAAAAGAAATATTCAATCCCGGACGAGCCCCCAATTTCTGTTACGAGCCAGGCGTAACTAGAAAGAAAAGCCAGCAACAAACTTGTAACAATAACAAATTTATTACAGAAAAATTATTAAAGAAAAATAAAATAACAAATTATGTTTACAAATACCTGAAGTCCAAATATAAATGTAAAATCTAATGTCTAGTCTGATCCTGGAATGATCTCTTTTTGAATAGCACAGTTAAATCCAAGTTAAAATCCAAGAACACTTTAGAATAAATTCCCACAATAAAATCCACAAGAATAATTTAAACTATTTCAAAAATAATCCAAGCTCCAATAAATCACTTTATATCCAAGTTGAATAATACTCCAAATATATTGATGACTTAAAACGTAACTGAAGACTTAAAAGATCACTGATGACTTAAAAGGTAATACGAAAGAAAAAATGTCTCCTATTTATATTAAGCTAAGAAGTTTCTAGAATAGTCTTCCATTTTCTACATAAATCACAATCTAGCAACTTCAACAATAAAGATCATTCCGGAAATTTCTATCTAATTATAATGCATGAGTTTTCAACAGTTAAGAAAGTTCTAATACATACATGTAGTTTATGTTCTAAAAATAGAACAACGATAATATTGGAAATACCAACTGGTCAGATATAAATTATATACATGTAATATGTTGCATACATAACATAAGATAAATAACATAGATAGCTCTCATTTAAACAAATCGAGCCACTGTTTAGTATAGGGGTGAATTCAGGAATAACCTGCCTATTAATAATTTAATAGGAGAAAGTCCGTACAAACAATCAAAAAAGTGCATTAGAAGGCTACTCTTAATAAATTATTATGTAAAACTAATAATTGTAATATGTTAAATGAATGTTTTATGTAAAAATGTATAAATAAACGGGCCTAACACGTGGTTAAAATAAAAGAAAGTATAAAAAAGAAGAACAAGAGCACCGCTAGGCGGAGCATTATATGCCCGAAAGTGTTTTTTTTAGTAAGGATGAAGCATTTGTAAGACGATGGAAATTAGTTGTTCATCCTATAAAATTTTACAGCTGTAGGTTGATTAATACTTAAGTTACGGATGACCTTAACCTTTGACCTTGTGACCCAAAATCAAAAGGGGTCTTCTCTCCAATATGCACAATCATACTATGAAGTTTGAATATTGTAGGCCAAATGGAACTTAAGTTATGCTCTAGAAACTATTTTCAGTATTAAGGTAAAAGTGACTTTGACCTTGTGACCCCCTAAAATCAATAGGGGTCTTCTACCCAATATGGACAATCATCCTATGAAGTTTGAATATTGTGGGCCAAATGGAACTTAAGTTATGCTCCGGAAACTGTTTTCAGTATCAAGGTAATAGTGACCTTGACCTTTGACCTTGTGACCCCAAAATCAATAGAAGTCTTCTACCCAATATGGACAATCATCCTATGAAGTTTGAACATTGTGGGTCAAATGGAATTTGAGTTATGCTCCGGAAACTAGTTTCAGTTTTAAGGTAATAGTGACCTTGACCTTTGACCTTTTGACCCCAAAATCAATAGGGGTCTTCTACCCAATATGGACAATCATCCTATGAAGTTTGAACATTGTGGGTCAAATGGAATTTGAGTTATGCTCCGGAAACTAGTTTCAGTTTTAAGGTAATAGTGACCTTGACCTTTGACCTTTTGACCCCAAAATCAATAGGGGTCTTCTACCCAATATGGACAATCATCCTATGAAGTTAGAACATTGTGGACCAAATGGAACTTAAGTTATGCTCCGGAAACCAAATTGCTAACGGACAGAACTGTTTTCAGTTTTAAGGTAATAGTGACCTTGTGCTTTGACCTTGTGACCCAAAATCAAAAGGGGTCTTCTCTCCAATATGCACAATCATACTATGAAGTTTGAATATTGTAGGCCAAATGGAACTTAAGTTATGCTCTAGAAACTATTTTCAGTATTAAGGTAAAAGTGACTTTGACCTTGTGACCCCAAAATCAATAGGGGTCTTCTACCCAATATGGACAATCTACCTATGAAGTTTGAATATAGTGGGCAAAATGGAACTTAAGTTATGCTCCGGAAACTGTTTTCAGTATCAAGGTAATAGTGACCTTGACCTTTGACCTTGTGACCCCAAAATCAACAGGGGTCTTTTACCCAATATGGACAATCATCCTATGAAGTTTGAACATTGTGGGTCAAGGGTCAAATGGAACTTAAGTTATGCTCCGGAAACTGTTTTCAGTGTTAAGGTAATAATGACCTTGACCTTTGATCTTTTGACCCCAAAATCAATAGGGGTCCTCTACCCAATATGGACAATCATCCTATGAAGTTTGAACATTGTGGGCCAAATGGAACTTAAACTATGCTCCGGAAACCAAATTGCTAACGGACAGAACTGTTTTCAGTTTTAAGGTAATAGTGACCTTGACCTTTGACCTTTTGACCCCAAAATCAATAGGGGTCTTCTATCCAATATGGACAATCATCCTATGAAGTTTGAACATTGTGGGCCAAATGGAACTTAAGTTATGCTCCGGAAACCAAATTGCTAACGGACGGACGGACAGACAGACGGACGCCAGGGGGTATAACATAATATGCCCTTTCGGGCAAATAAAAAGGGGTATTTTATGCTTAACAATGGTTCGACAAGAGCTTAATACTAAAAATAGATATCAGTAATGTACTGCATTTACATAACCTGTACACATAAAAGTTTGCGTGAAATAAATATCATTTCATAAAAGCATATAAAGAACACGTTGTTGAAACTGAATAATGCAAAAGTATTTTAGATCAGCAATGGTGCGTGGAATGATTCGTACAAAATGATGTATTTTGAGATACAATTTGGAAGACTTATGTGTAAACATTAAATTAAGTAAAGAATAAAAAAAATCGGGTAAGCCCATGTTAAAACCCTCGTGTAGTTTTTGTTTCGCTTTCGGATCTTTTGAGTTGCCTATTGTTGCTGTTGTTGTTGTTGTTGACGAATTAATTGAAACGAAATTCGAAAGATGTAACAAAAAATCATTAAGCAAATTTTCATAAATCTGGTTATATAGTGTTGATTTTATTATCCAAAATAAGAAACCACTTATAATTTTGCCCTAATAGTGCTTTACAAGCATGCCAACAAATATATATCTAAAATCTATATATACATAATATTCATAAGATAATATACAGTAAATAATTCGATTTTATTTGATATGATAAACTTACCTAACTTACCACTAATGTAGATCTTATCATATACATGTATATTAGACATTATGTAGGTCGCGCAAAATTTTATCTGAAACTTCGCGCAGTAAATACATGTACATGTACGTATAATCTTAGATATATTCGAGATAAACAGAAATACCGCTTAATTTATTTAAAATGTATCTGAACAGTTTTAAGTATGTAAAGTTGTCAAAAGCTAATTTCGCGAAACAGTTAAAAAAAATGAGTTTTTTTTAATAAAAACATTAACCAAAAATAAAACACACCTTTGAACAGCAATTGTCACCACGGCCGCCAGATTTTACTTTCGGTTTTAGCTTGAAAGGGAAGAAACTCTATATGTTTTCATCAGGTATTCCAAATATTATTATTTATTTACTACCCTTCCAGATGTTTTCCAGCAGATTTTAGGATAGCTTGTCAGTTATATTGCTAGTTCTGATCAACAATTTCTTTTTAGATATTTAACAATTGTATCAATTAAAAGAGTGGTACAATGTATTTTCTTCATCCATGCATAGTTTATTTTAAAATTATTCCATGTTTTTTGTTGTTGTTGTAATAACCGGAACCAGTCACGCATCACGGTGTTTTTCGAGGCCTTACAAAAATAAACAATGAAGACATTGATCAGTAGCAGGTAAATCAATAAAATATTGACTTGTTTTGGTGCATGAATCATTTTCTTATCATTTCCAACAAACATTTGGCTATAAAACATATATTGTCATTGAATATAAATGAAAATAATCAGCAAGTGTTTTTGTCAGTAATGGATTTTACATGTCTTTATACGTAGTGGCCTAGTGGGTATATGGTCTCAAAATGTACTTGATCAGTCAAATTGCTGTCACAAAATTTAATTAAAAATTAACTTTTACAACAATTTACTAAAAAAAAAAGTTCAAATTTAACACAGATTTATACCATTTTGTTTTCCTATATTTCAGAAGTTTAAGAATTGTTTTAGGACATGTACTTTATGAATAATATATTTAGATGATCTCCATCTACCTATCCCATACTCCCCATTAACTAAATTATATGCAAAATACAAATGAAGAAGTATACATAGAATGTCTTTTTGTCTACTGAGAGGTATTCATTTGATTTTCTTTATTGAAAGAGATGTAAGCAAAATTTATCTCCTTAGCTATATCCTATACTGCCTAAACAACTGAATATGAGTATGATATATTCTTAAAATATAAACATCATTGTAACACGCATATTTCATTTAGCGATTCCATTTACATATAGACCGTATACAAGTCGATTTTTATGATGCACGGAAGACCAATAAGACTATTATATTCATCATGGAGAAAAAACATCGAAAATGACGGTTTTAGAATCGAGACATCTCTAAAGAGTTTTTATCCCGAAACCATACAAGTGCCTATGGTCGTATCCTACAATTTGTAAACAAACGCCGCCATCTTTGAAGGAAAAAGATATATTTTTTAATACTCTTTTTGATAGAAATGACTGAAAACCAGATATACGAGTATGTGTTAACACGCTCAACAATTTTCCGTTGCATTTGGTATATGGTAAATTTAAAGAACAATATGGTAAAACAGAAGTTATACCGAACTTGGAACTCGAATTTATATGAGGTTTTGTGGCTATATACGACTCAGTTCTTTTGCTTTATACATCGTTTTTCTCTTCATATCAATTATACATGTATGCTCGTTTTAGAGATTACCATAAACTTCAAAATATAATTTTGCATCATTAAAAAAAATCATTTTAAAGAGATGTAGATGAAGGCAGTTTATATTCATCCAGAAAAGTGGAATCCAGAATAAAGCTACATTTATTTTCTATATATCTCTGTCCTATCAAGGATCTATGCATAAGTAGAACGAGTTTTTCTTAATAACTCAATGCATGATTTTAGCTTAAGTTCACTATTAATAGTATTAGAAAAGATCATAAAATACACTCAACATGTCTGTTGGTATATAGATCTATGACAGGTGGGAAATTCTCTATATGTTTAATTTGACCTAGGCTTTTCTGAAAGCAATGTGGTATAGTGGTCAATTCCCGCATCTCCACACATGTGTATATATGTAATACGATCCCGGCTTTCTAAAATCTTGTGATTTAAAGAATGATTTCATGTTTTGATACCAGGATCATAAGCTACAAAATCCTGTGGTTTAATGAATGATTTAATGTTTTGATACCAGGATCATTCGTTACAGACTCCTGTGATTTAAAGAATGATTTCATGTTTTGATACCAGGATCATAAGCTACAGAATCCTGTGATTTAAAGCATGATTTAATGTTTGATACCAGGATCATAAGATACAAAATCCTTTGGTTTACGAATGATTTATTGTTTTGATAACAGGATCATCCTTTACAGAATCCTGTGGTTTGAAAAATGATTTAATGTTTTGATTACAGGATCATTCGTTACAGAATCATGTGGTTTGAAGAATGATTTAATGTTTCGAAAACAAAACCATTCGTTACAGAATCCTGTGGTTTGAAGAATGAGTTAATGTTTTGATATCAGGATCATTCGTTACAGAATCCTGTGATTTAAAGAATGATTTAATGTTTTGATTACAGGATCATTCGTTACAGAATCATGTGGTTTGAAGAATAATTTAATGTTTCGAAAACAAAACCATTCGTTACAGAATCCTGTGGTTTGAAGAATGAGTTAATGTTTTGATATCAGGATCATTCGTTACAGAATCCTGTGATTTAAAGAATGATTTAATGTTTTGATGGGTTTTTTTTTGGTGAGAGTAGGAGGCAATGTAATATCTATTGACGAAGTTTTTGCAATAAAGAACATGATAGTATATTTGTTTGTTTGTTTGTTCAGATGAATGTACAAGCTTCTCATTAGAGCATACTTTATCAAAAAACTGGCTTAAGATTAAAACATGCTCTCTCACAACGAATAACACACATTTTAATGATTTCTTTACCGTAAAGATTAATGTCTGTCCACTTTATCGTGCATGGACAATTATCCTAACCTCCCCTTTTTCTCAACACAAAAAAGAAATAGTTCAAAGAGCTTGGTTAAAAAAGCATACTTGCATTTATCTAATCTAACAATCTATTCGATATAACCATCGACAAAGTACTGGTGCCATCGACAGTGTGAAAGAGCCTTCTAAAATGTGATGAAACCAACACAAACAATCAATAAGTATCGATATTGTGGAAGGCAAGGCACAATGTTGCTTTTATGATTAAGTGGGCCAACAATAACTTTATGCTAGTGAAAATAAACACAAGGGTTGATCATTAGGTAATAGCAACATTAGGTTTTAGCAATATCATTTTGAAGTTCGAGGGGCATATTCTAATTAACGAGGTGCATATTCTAATTAAACATGTGGGGGAAAAAAGATTAGTAGAGTCCTTTAAAATATTCACCATGGATCTCTACACACTTTTCCAGCCTCAGAATCCATTTAGAAAACGCATTTTGAACTCTTCTTTGGGTATACTGTTTTTACACTGGAAGAGAGCGCTTCCGACGGCCTTATGGGTTTAAAACCGGCGACCGCAAAGGCAAGATTTGATGTATGGATTTAACCAAAAGTCACAAGGAAAGAGGTCAGGACTTTAAGCGGGATGTGGCCAAACCTCTGCTCCTTTAATTAAGCTTGAACCAAGGCTGACCGATACGTAGGTGCATTGTCATGGAGTATTTGATACTGCGCATTCCGGACCTTATAGGTTCTTTGTAATGTAGTGCTTAACTTCAACAGTGAGAAAATAGTCACGGTAAAATTTTCAGTGACAATACCCCTCACAGGCACAGCGACACGGGCCACTATTCCATCACTGTCAAAAATAGAGCGTACATAACTCTTGCTACGTCGAGCAACAACTTAACGATCGCTGTCATTTAGTTTATTGTTGGGCTCAAAAAAAATCCACGTTTCATCCCCTGTGACAATTTCTCTAAGGCGTCTAGGGTCTCGATCTTTGAACCTAGTCAATAAGGCCGAGGCTTTTTTTTTTCAGCGTGCTCCATTTTCTGGTCAGAAGTAGCAAATTCGGGATTCAACGGGCGCACACTTTCATTAACTTTAACATTTCTTTCATGATGGAAAACAAATATGACACACTAAGGTACGATATGTCACTTATCTCTTCCAAGGTATATCTTGCATCTTCATTAACTATGTCTTTGTCAGTGCTGATGTCTTTTTCAGCGATAGCGGAAATTGGCCGCCGAGGGCGGGGATCATCCTTAACATTAGTTCACCGTTCCTTAAACATTGACACCCACCTGACAACAGTACGATACGGAAGGGCTTTTCTTAATAAACTAAATTTAAATCCGTGTTTATTTCTGACGCGTAATTACCCAATAACCCACGAATTTTGAAATAAGCTCTTTGCTTCTCTTTCAAATCTGGTCCAAGCCATGTTTACAACCAGTTTACATAAATAATGGTTCAAGTATAAAGAAAAAAGGAACAATATGTTGAGTAACTGTTTATTCACAATAAAACATCATATTTGAAGCAAACTTGTTTGAAATCAATATCCCTGTTGTTATATACGATATAGTTAACGTTTAATTTTCTTTCAGTTCGATAAAATATCAACAAAAAAATATTTTATTAGTTTTCTCTATGTATGTAATCTAATAATCCCTATCGCCTTACCGTTTTGGTAACCTGCGCGGCGGAAACCGACGGAAAATAACGAAGACGACGATTACCACTATTTATTTCAATAAATGAGCCTCTTTAGCATAAATCTATTTTGTGATGTTCACCCTAAACTAAACTATTGAACGTTGACAGGAAAGGCCAATTTTAACCCTTTTCCAAGAAAAAATGAAAAGGTTTTGAAAATTTATTCTTTAATGTGTAAATTGTGAGTATACAAACCTTTCTAATGATATATAATATGAAACTGATTAATGAAAAATAACTTTGTAATTATATAAAAATTACTATGATTTGCATCTTATCAGCCACCATACATTTTGCCAACTTTTCACAAGTTACCTGTATGTCTTATCAGCAATCTGTTACTATTAATAGATTCTATAACAATAACATATACAATGTGTAGCCACGTGGTTCTTACAAAAGAACAGGGAGAATTTGTTATCATTAGATAAAATAATGAAATATAATAGGTATCATAAGATATAAACAACCAAATAATTTTAAAGTGTCATTTCAATTATCATTCATGATTATCGATCATAAAACAGCAACGCTTCACTAACAAAGTTTGCACTCTTACCCTATGCTACGACCGGATGTAAACAATACGTTCGCACAGGGCATGCGCGGTGGTTAAATCCCACCCATTTTATTCGATTAAATTCTAGAACAACCACTACTTTCGGTTTCAATTTTGCTGACAAGGAACAGTTTGAATCAACGTAAGCGTTAATTTTAATTGCAATGTCGAAAACTTTGCACTACACGGCGTAATTTTCATTACATGTCCGGTATTATCACCGTCATAATAGTTTTTATTCCAGTCGGTCAAAATGACGGTACACATTTACATGTAAACAAA